CCCCCTTCCCCTTCTCCCGGCGCCCGGTATGCCGGCGCCTGTCCCACCCGCCGCGTCTGAATGCCCACTCCGTCATCTGTTGCAGTCCTCTCGGCGGACAGCCGCTGCTCTCACCTGCAGGAGCTGGTGCGGAAGGCCCAGAAGAGGGTCGACACGCTCGCCAGCTATCTCACCACCGCCAACGGCGGCTACACCAAGGAGAGTGAGAAGCAGAAGGCGCTCTGGGAGCGCCGCCTCAAGCTGCTCAACCGCATGAAGGTCGGCTTCGACCAAACACGTGAGTGCAGGGGCGTCAGGAGAACCTGGAGGTCGGTGACCGCAGCCTGGTTTGATGTCGCTCTCGCTGATGTGCCGCGAGTACGGCGTTGTGGTGATGGTGACAGTACGTGATGGTATGATGACAGTATGCTTTGAGCGCGGTATGCTCATGATCACTGGTGGCTGGTGGCCTGGAGCTGGTGACTGGATCACTGCCGGCTATCAAAAACACGCGCGTGTTATCTCGCACTCGCCCCATATTTTGCGTGGCGCCTGCCCGGCCGCTGAACGTTTCTGTGTTCTGCGTCACACGCCGCTTTTTAGTGTTTCGCGCTCACTAATATTTACGCCGAGGGAAATTATTTCGCCCCGCTGGCACTCGCAGCTGCTTGCTGTAAACAGGCCCGTAAACAGCAGTTCAGGGCTGATTGAATGTGCTCCCTGGACAGCGATGGATATTACCGAGGCTGCTGTACCGGGTGGGGGAAACGCTTTGAAACGGTTATGTCAGAGTCCTGAGGGGGCATAATGGAATAAACGCGGCAATTCGGCAATCAATAAACGGGAACTCTTGTGCGCTTCCACGGGCTGGTGAAAAATAAAAACGGCCGGCAGCCTGCACCAGACCGCACCCGATCTCCTCCTGACTGCCGGCCGCCGTCCGTCTCAAACGAGGGCGATAGAGCCTGCGGTACACCACAACTGCCAAATTTCTCCTCGTAATGGGACATGCGCTGCGTGCGGATGTATCCAAACAGCACGCTGCGCACTGCACACGTCAGATGGAACCTCGCCTGGCCCAGCTGACTGACGGATGTTCGCCCGCCGTGTCGGCGCCAGGCGCGCCGCGTCACAGGACCTCCGTGCGCCCGTGCGCCCCTCCGCCGGCGTCACGGACCCGTGGTCCGCCCCTCTCCGCCGACGTCACGGGACCCGTGTGTCCGCGCTCCTCTCCGCCGACGTCACGGGACCCGTGTGTCCGCGCTCCTTTCCGCCGACGTCACGGGACCCGTGCGTCCGCGCTCCTCTCCGCCGACGTCACGGGACCCGTGCGTCCGTGCGCCCCTCCGCCGGCGTCACGGGACCCGTGCGTCCGTGCGCCCCTCCGCCGGCGTCACGGGACCCGTGCGTCCGTGCGCCCCTCCGCCGACGTCCACGGGGACCCGTGTGTCCGTGCGGGCCCCTCCGCCGGCGTCACGGGACCCGTGCGCTGGTGCCTCCTTTCCGCCGACATCACGGGACCCGTGCGCTGGGTGCTCCTCTCCGTCGACGTCACGGGACCCGTGCGCTGGTGCTCCTCTCGGCCGGCGGCGCTGTGCAGCTCACCGTGCACGCGCCGCGCTTTAGGTTCTGCCGCCGGCCTGCAGCGTCGGCCGCGCTCAGGCTGGCACTAGGTGCCCCGGGAGCAGGCCAGCCCCTGGAGAGGAGCTGCCGTGCGCTCGAGCGGCCCCGCAGAGATGGCGGGCCACTTGTGCTGGCCGGTGAGGGCGCCGTCGCTCGAGCGGCCCCGAGAGGACGCCACTTGTGCTGGCCGGTGAGGGCGCCGTCGCTCGAGCGGCCCCGAGAGGACGCCACTTGTGCTGGCCGGTGAGGGCGCCAGAGGGCGTCAGTTGGACGTCGCCCGCGCGGCTGTCTCCGGGGCTGTTGTTTCCTTTGTTTTTGTTTGCCGTTGTTCGTCGTTTTTCCTCCCACGTCGCCTTGCCGTTGCTTCAAATAAGAGGGGTGATAGTTATGTGATGACTTTTGACGCATTTGGCCGCCGCCTCATAAGTTGCACCTCGCCTCAATGTTCACATGACACAGTTCGCTGGCACAGTGTCGGTTAGAGACCACGTTTCAAATGTTTTCATGCGCATTGTAGTGAAATGTGGGTGTACATCTGTTTGAACCGCGGCCCAGATTTTTGGGCCGCGGCTGCGCTCTTTGGAAATGGTCCCATCGGAGGTAGCCCTTGTCTGCAAAATCGTGGCACGACTTTAAGTAAGTGCATGATCTCCTGTGGCTTTCGTGATTTTCCCGAAAAGCAGAACGTGTGTCGATTGACTCGTTTTGCATAAAGTGAGTATAAAAGATAAAGGGTCAAGGCTTTAGTTAGACGTTCTGTTGAAAGTTTATCATTGTTTTTTTTGCATTTGGCATGAAAATAATGGGTAAAATAAATAATAAAGCGCAAAAGGGTAAATAAAGGGCTGTAGTTAGACGTTCGGTAGAAAGTCTTACCATATGTTATTTTACATTTCTGTTGTAAAATGGAACGAATTCATTTCCGCCATCAAAAGGGATTTGTTCACGTGACTGAGGGAAGGGACGCTGTAAATATTATCAGTTAGCATTGTTGCGTGTTTTTATAAACAGACACGCGACTTGGCCATGCACTCAGGCTGTTTTTCTGCAACGTGTCTAGCGTTATCAAAATGCTACTTTTTCACGTGATTTGCCAGTCAAAGAAGGCGACATTTTGGGTTTGTTTGACGGCTATTGGATATCAGCTCAGTCCGATTTGGCCGCATATTCCCACATGGCCCACTGTACATCGTTCTTGCGAAAAGGTACGTCTTCGGCTGCATGGCTTGCTCATCCTGACGTTGGACTAGGTGGAGACCCCTGGCAACGTTCTGATTCTCTGTGGTCTGGTGTATCATGCTGCTGGGTGGTCCGGTTCGAGATGGCCCGGTGCGCTGGGATGTGGTCCCCGTGATGTGTTGTGTGATCTGTTCTTGTGTGGTGTTACCTGGTTATATGTGGTCTGATCTGACCTGTTGGTCTGGTTGTCGTGCCCGTTATAATCTGGCGTGTTGTGCCCCGATATGGTCTGATGCTTATACTCGAGACCCCTGTGTTGTGGCTTGGTCTGGAATGATCTGGACTGGTTTTGTCAGGACCGTTCTGCCGATAACCTTTCACCTGTTATGCCTTGATGTTATGCCTATGTTATGCCTTATGCTCCTTATGCCTATGCCTTGATGTTATGCCTCGATGTTATGCCTTGATGCCTTGGTAGTGTGTGGGGCGCTGGCGCTGGTGTGGTCTGGTCTGTCGTGGCCTGGCCTGGTTTCCCTGGGGTGTCGCGACCCGTGCTGCCGCCGCCGGCCAGGGGTGGTCGGTCGGTGTCGCGGCCCTTGCCGCCACAGCCCGGTCAGGGACGATCGGTCGGTGTCCGCCGCCCGGTCAGGGGCGATCGGTCGGCGTCGCGGCCCGTGCCGCCGCCGCCCGGTCAGGGGTGGTCGGTCGGTGTCGCGGCCCGTGCCGTCGCCCGGTCAGGGGCGATCGGTCGGCGTCGCGGCCCGTGCCGCCGCCGCCCGGTCAGGGGCGATCGGTCGGTGTCGCGGCCCGTGCCGTCGCCCGGTCAGGGGCGATCGGTCGGTGTCGCGGCCCGTGCCGTCGCCCGGTCAGGGGCGATCGGTCGGTGTCGCGGCCTGTCGGTCTGCTCGGCAGGTCCCGCCGGAGCCACCGGGGCCGCGTGACGGCGAAGTCACCGGACCGCAGGAGGCGCGCCTCAGGCTGGAGGAGCCCGACTGCCAAGCACCAGGCCATCTGCACCAAGTACAAAGGTCAGTGGCGGCCCGCCGGCCCGCCTGCGGCCCCGACCGGCAGACTGGCGGCCGTCGCCTCAGTCTGCCGGTCGCCGTCACAGACCGGCACAGACTGGCGGGCCGTCGCCGTTGCTGGTCGGTTAGACTGGCGGCTGTCGCTGTCACAGACCGGTAGACTGGCGGCTGTCGCCGTCGCCAGTTTTATGATGATGCGCGCACTTCATCCGAGTGGCATATGGACGAAACTGTGCTGAATTGATGCGGACCAAATGGGGTTTTGCTCCTGTTTCAGGCTATTTCGGTCTTTTGTCCTGATGAACTTTTAAACTCGCGCAGTAACGGCAATCGAATGATTGGGACCAATGATTAGCTAGCGTAGTGGATCAGACCATTTTGCACGCTCCCAGAGGGGCTGTGGCGGACTCGCGCAGGGTATCGATTCCATATACGCCGATAACTGTCAGCGGTCCGTTCAGGTTTGTTGGCAAACTCCCATGATGGCCTCCAGTTTTCATAAATTTTATGTCAATGGCGGTGGGGGGTCTTTGGCTGAAAGCCTGTTTTGCTCCTGAAGGCATGCATTGTAGGAGCAGTGTCGCGTACTGCTCAGCGTTTTCAGGGTATGTCATGCAGCGAGCGGTTTATGTAGGCGCGGGCTAGGTACGCTATGCGAAGTTGATCTGTTTCATGTTGCCATCGATGCGCGTGGCCATGGCCCGTGGATACTGACACCTTCGTCGAAACAGCAGTTTTTCCTGTGCGAAATGCAAGCTGTGATCCTCGCCGGCCTGTAAAAGATCATTCGATTATTTAGACAAGCCAGCCCAGGGATATTTTGTTTCATGTTCTGCTCAAACGTTTCGGCTCCAGTGCCGGGTCTACCCCGCTTTGCAGTGATGTGTCGTGCCGTGACCTCACCATGATCTGCTAGCCGACTGCATCAGGTCAAGGATGTTGACATTAAAGAAATCACCTTCGGCTGTAAGGAAAACTCCGAAAATGTATTGAAAATGAAAACGGTATTGTGTCTGCACAATTGAACTCAGTACGTATGTCGTTTTTGTTCAAGATCTGGCTCAATTCTCATTGATAAGCCGTCCGTAAATGGCGCTACGCATTTTTGACCTTTTCTTCCTCCCCTTCTCTTTGCTTACGCAATGATCAAGATGTCGAAAACCCTCACCCTGGCTATGCCGTTTATTGTCAAATATTAAGGGTGATTGGCAACTACACCTGAACGTAGCGAAATGCAGTCAATAACCTCATATTTTCAAAGCTTTGGTTTCTCCGCATAACCCTCCTCCTCCACCCTTCTCCTTACGTAACATCATTTATGGACGGCCTCTGAGCTGGGTCCGTCTTTTTTTTGGGGGGGGGGGGGGATTCGGCCACGCAAAAGCGCACACCCATCTTTGAGCATGTAAAAGATTACTGTATTTTATTGATGACGGCCCCCGGTCTGCCGGAATCCCATCTTGCACTTAATTACAGGGCCGTCCGCAGATGGCAGCACTGAAACAGATGGCTGCGATCATCGCCGCTTCGGGCTGAGAGTGGTCGTTCCGCCCAATGCTGGCGATAATGATCCCTTTGATTGGGGTCGCCTGGTCCAGTGCCATCAGGACAACTATCCGGCTGACGGCCAGGACATGGCGGAGAGGGGGCGGGGGGGGGGGGCAGGGGGCATCCGGTCATCAGGACACTCAGCTGAGGCATCAGATGACTGCCTCGTCAGTTTGACTAAGGCTGGTTGAGGTGGTGACAGCGTGAACACCGGCGAGTCGCTCAAGTCGCCAGTTGTGAATTACATAATGGCAAAGCACATCATCGTGGGAGCTTTATTTGGATGGTGTCTCACTGAAAATGGACTCAATATTTCATAGCTTTTCACGCTTCCCTTCACGTCTTCCCATTTTGTCGTGTTCTACATGCCGCGCACACGCGACACAACCGTATCATAGGCGCACACGGAGGACTGCGTGTGTACCTCATCAGCGTAGCAGTTGCAAGCAAGGGGTGCCCTACGCACGGTTTCACCAAGGTGGGGCGAGCACGGATTTGAAATTATATCAGATGCCTGCATTCATGTGCGCGGTCGCTAGATTTCACCGCATGCAACGCTTGTCGGGTCATCGTGCAAATGAAAGCCAACTGTCATCATCACCCACACGGCGATGTTCAGTCATATGGCAGCCACCCAAGCCAGTCATATGGCAGCCATCCAAGCGACGCCTTTTTTGACGTAATCCCTGCGGAGTCGTTTCCGAATCATGGGATTGCAACGCGACCAGCAACCATAGCATCGCTTGCCAGCTAAACTCGAGCAATATGCAGCCGCCTAGCCGGATGGTCGTCACGGAGCTTTTGGAACCCTCTGTATAAATAAACTTGCAATTTGTCACTGCCCGCACTGTGCGTGACGCATTCTGATAGATATCAGCTGGTTGAATTTGGGTAGCAGAGGCTATGGCAAACCCGCGAATGGTCACGTTGGATGGGGACTCAAATTCATCACGCTGCGGAAGTACGTATCAGCGTTGTCGCATCAACAGTATGGTGCGGGCCATGCTTGCTGGGAACTGCAGCGCTAGGAAGGGCGGTAGCAGGTGCTGTAGGACTGCCGGGACCGTGCACGCCGTCAGAAGTCCTGGATGGCCAGGGGACGGAAGGCACGAGTCGGCCCGAGACAACCGGAATGTGGCGAGGTTTATAACTGCAGCGCGCCTTAGCGGTGCAAATGCTGAGGTTTTCATCGTGTGGCCCAGCCAAGGTGTGCTGACTGGCAAGTCGGTTCTCGTGTCGCGCCGCCGCCTGCCGCTGACTCGGATATCAGATTACCCGTTCTGGTGATTAGATTCCGTGTTTCCGGCCGGCGAGTCCGGTCTCTGCCCTGGCGTTCTCAGCTCGGATCACGCGGTTCAGTAGAGCAAATGTTCTCATTTCAGTGCACTCGTAAGTGAAGCCGTACATTTTCCGGACTGGTTAAGATGAGGTGTTGGTACGAGTGGAATACGCGGGTCGGACCATTTTCGTCGTCTGCGGTTGGTGATCACACAGCGCTATGCCTTGTGCTTCCCCGGCCGTCGTAAAGCGCCGGCTGGTCCGGAGAAGGGACCTGATTATAGTTTGGCGCCTTGTCAAGTATGCCTCGATTACTCCCAGTGGCTTCGAGCTTTAGTGATATGGTCGTGATCCATGTAGACTCACCATCTAACCACTGCATTATCGGGGACATTTGGTGGTGCGCTAGGATGTTCTTTTATCTTTTTCTAAGATTTGTCGCAGAATTTTCTTGATGAGGAGCTTAGAAGAGGAATTTCTTAGAATTTGTCACCTAAATGTCTTAAAAGAGAAAGGAGATGTCTGCACTAAGTCTGCTAAGGTTTCTGAACCGCTGTCATGTGTGCCGCTGTTTTACACCCCCGTACCTGCCAGTACCCACTTTCGATCGACGTGGTTATTTCGCCCATGCTGGCTGGTGGTTCCCTTCCTAGCACACGTGCTCGGCCGTGCCGTCTGTTTCGCCCGCGGATGGCTGCCGTTTTGTGTTCCTTTCCTTGGTTGGTGGTGCCGCTCGACGTGGTTGTCGCCACCAAACCATGTGAAACACTCCGGAAGCCAGCGAGATTCGAACCGGGCGCCCTGGCGCGCCGCTCAGTAGCCCGGTGCCGTTTCCAGTTCAGTGGTCGACGTGGGGCCGACTTCAGCTCGGTGGACGGCGAGTGTGATGTCACGGACCTGGTGCCGCCGCCGGAGCTGCCCGTGCGCCAGCTGACGCAGGGACAGCGGGTACTACTTCCGCCGCCGGCCGCCGGGAACTTCTGCGGCTGGAGCCGCTTCGTCACGTCCACCCCGGCTGGCGTGCGGCCTTCAGGTGGGGACGGCGGTGGCGGGCGGCGGTGCACCGTGCTGACGCACTCTCCGGCCGATGGGTCGGCGGCGGGCCCAGGCACTGCGCTGTCGCATGTTCTGGCCTCGCAGTTGGCGTTCCTCTGCTATCGTCTGTTTGGACCGCTCTGCGGTTGGTTTGTTGTACTGTTGTGTCTGTCTTTCACCTCCCTTCTCCTTTGCGCCAAGGCCTGATGTTGCACTCGCCCTCGCTCTCGCACACGCCCACACTCCTTGATTTTGCTCTTCACCACGCGTCTCGTTTGGTATCTCACCCACCAACTGGCTCGATTTTTCTCACTTTCCACGTCCGTTACGCGCATCCGTTTCATCTCCTTATCTCTTGTATTTCCGTTTTCCATTTCATTCTCCCCACCCGGCCACCCCCACCTCTCCCTGGAAAACGTTCTGTGCATTATATTTGTGTTCCTCCTGGCATGTCGTCACCGGTACCAAACACGCCGATAGAGGCCATGGACGCGCTCTTGGGCGCAGACCGACACGCAGTCGGACTGTGCCGTCTCTGACACGCGACCCTGTGCACGGTCTGTGGTGGAAGACGAACGGGCGCTGGCATGTCGGAATGTTACCTCCACCCGGCGTTCGTACGCTTCCGTGTTGACTCGATCGAGATCTTGGTTGACCCTGACTTTGGTTGACCCTGACCTCTTGCGCAATGTGGCCTAGCTATGACTGTCGCTAGCGCGACGCGCTCCAGTGCTCGTGCATGGTGACCTGATGTTGACCTTTCTGCAGCGTGGCCTGGCTCAGGCCGGGTCTTTTTACTATCGCCGAAACCTGACCTGAACCTGTCTGCGGTGGCAGGACCTGATCCCCATTGCGACCCTTCGCTGACCTGGTCTGCAGTGTGGCGGGACGTGTACCAGCGGCTGTCTGACCCTTCGCTGACCTGGTCGGCAGTGTGGCGGGACGTGTACCAGCGGCTGTCTGACCCTTCGCTGACCTGGTCTGCATTGTGGCGGGACGTGTACCAGCGGCTGTCTTACCCGTGGCTGACCTGGTCCGCAGTGTGGCGGGACGTGGACCAGCGGCTGTCCCGGCTCAACGGCAAGGTCGCGGCCCTGGATCGGCTCTTCACGCAGATCCGCACCTCGCGGCCCCAGTACGCCAGCGACCTCCGCAACCTGGACGGCGACCGTGGCTCGCCCATGGCGCGCAAGAACGTCAAGAAGAAGAGCATCAAGAACCTGTTTCAGACGGCTGTCAAGTTCCAGAAGCACTTGCGGAGGTGAGGAGTGGGAGATGGCAGGTTAGCCGTGGGACATGACATATGTGAAGCGTGGAAAATGACATGGTTGAATCATGGGAGATGACAGATGCGTGCGTGGGAGATGACATGGGTGAAGCGTGGGAGATGACATAGGTTAGGCACGAAAGATGACATAGGTGAGGCGTGGGAGATGACATGTGTGAGGCGTGGGAAAATGCGTGAGGCGTAGGAAATGACATGGTTGAGGCGCGGGGGATGATATGGGTGACGCATGGGAGGTGACATGGGTGAGTCATGGAGATGACATGGGTGAGGCGTGGGAGATGACAGAGGTGAAGGCGTGGGAGAACGACAGAGGTGAGGCGTGAGAGATGACAGTGTGAGGCGTGAGAGATGACATGGGTGAGGCGTCGGGGATGACATGAGTGACGATCACATCTTCTCCCTACGCTTGGCGTTTGGCTTGGGCTGCTTGTGGTAAGGCTATTGATGATATTCCTTTTGTATGTTTGTTAGGGCGAGGGACGGTAGAGCGGAAATATTTTGTGTAGATATCGAGGCACTCACCGTCTCCTTAAGGTCTCACACGCACTTGCTGCTGTTCAATATGTGGTCCATGCGTCCACTTTGTGGTCTCTGGTTTCCTTGGCTTGTAGTACGTCCTGTTTTCTCTTTGAATCCCATAGCTGACTTTGAAGTTCTCTCATTCTGGACTGCCCATCCAGTCTTGGTTGGCGCCTACCACTTTGTAAATTACTGACGCTGCACTGTACTTTAACTCTGCCGCCTCTGTCGTTTGCTTCTATCATTGCTCTGTTTTTATTGCTTGTTATTTTTACTTTATTTTACAGCACCACGTTGTGGTGATCCCTCTCTCCCAGTTACCACACGACTGTATGGCTGGACACCACCGCTGCAACGTTGCTTGCGCCACATATCGGCGGCCTCAGTCACTCCACCGTTTTTTTCGACAGTGGCGTGTACCTGGCCAGCGTCATCTACCACGAGGACCGCGTCGCCATGACAGCGGAGGACTTTCTACCGATTCTGGAAGTGGACGAGTCGTATCCGAGCTCCATCCACGCCGACTTTCACTGGCTGATGAAGGTCAGACTGTCGTCTGCGCTCGGTGGTGGAGTGGAGTGCTCGGGCCGGACGGCGCTGGCTGACACGTGTCGCGGCGTGTCGGGCACTCGGGCCTGAGTGGCTTAAACCTAGCCTCAGGTTTGATATGTTCAGCTTTATTGGCCGATTTTTGGGAATGGTGTGACCTCCCTGTTCGTCAGCCGGTCATTGCTCAATGTGTGTGGATCGCGCCGCGCCGCGCCGCCAGCGCTGTCGGAACTTCGCGCACTGGCTGATTCGGCGTCCAGCTGGCGCGCCGTAGCCAGGATCGAACCAGCGACCCGTGGATAAGCCGAATTCTGGCGTCGGCAGGTGGCGTGCACGTGGGACGACGTCCGCTCGCTGCGTCAGGACATGGAGCGCTCGCTCAGCTCGTCTTCAGTCCACTTCCGCATCAAGCTGCTGGCGGCGGCCGAACAGCTGCAGGTGCGACCCGACTGGGGCGACACCTGTTTCCGACCATTGTAACTAGTTTGGGGGCATGGTGTGCCTAGATGTGTGATTTTCTCGTCGCTGTTCGTGCTTTGCGCGTTGTGCGTCGTGCTGTGCACTGGTCATGTTGCGCTAGGCCGACCAGTAGTATAGATCGGTATAGATTGGTAACTGTCAGCGGCCCAGTTATCGTGCCTTATTGAGCCGGCCGCGATCAACAGCCACTTATCGGTATCGATTATTGCAAGACGGACGTACAGTTAGCATCAGTGTTGCCATTAGCCGCAGCCGCCAATTTTTTCATTTTTTAATTGTTTTTACTGCGCTGGTGTTTCGAGCCGCACGCTGTGTCCGTCTGTTATTTTGGCTGTGACCAGTGCAAAAGGACTGCTCGGCGCAGTTTACCAGACATTCTCGGCCATAGCTGACGGTAACCGAGTGTGCAGTTTGTTGTCTGAGGCATGCCAGTGCACCTTTATCTGAGGTCAGACGGCCACTGGTTGTATTGCATTAAGGATGGCCACGTGGGGAACGTGCGGGTAAGAAGCACCAGCGAGTTTTGGTCAGACATTGGAGGTCTTTTGGCTTGTGCTGGGCGGGGCGTTTACCGTCAGCAAATTCGCTCGCGTCTTTGAAGGGAGCGTCCGACGGATTTTGTGTAAAGCGTAGACTTAGGACATGTGTAGGATACAACTTCAGAAAAGTGGTACGCAAATAAAAACAAGATGAAAAGTGGAAACAGCGAAACAAGAAGCAAAGTTAATTGCCTCTGACCAGAAATGCCAGGACCTGGAAGTGTTATGACCTTCCGTGACCCGATATTTCGGGGCCTAGTCGACCTTGGGTTGACCTGTCGTGACGTGGCCTCATCCCACCACAACCCGTGATTTGACTGTCCTTGAGTCGCCCTCACGTAACCCCATCTTTCTGTGACCTTTCTTGCTCCAACTACCCTGTGATCTCCGTGACCCTGCTTCCCTGTGGCCTTCATTGACCTTGTTCCCCTGTACCCCTCCGTGACCCTGCTTTCCTGTGACCTCCCGTGACCCTGCTTCCCCGTGACGCCCCGTGACCCGTGCCTCAGGTGGCGCTCGGCGTGCAGGATCTGGGTCAGCTGTACTACAAGCCGCTGCGAGACTGCCACGGCGCGCTCGTGTTCGTCGTCATCAGCCACATGAGGTACCCTCCCCAGTCGCCTCCCCCTCCCTCGCCGTCGCCGCCGCGCGCCAGCAGCGTGTGTGTGTGTGTGGGTGTGCGTGTGTGTTGTGTGCGTGCGTGCGTGCGTGCGTGTGTGCGTGTGTGTCGTGTGCGTGCGTGCGTGCGTGCAGTGGCTCGCCGACTGGCTCATTTGTGCCAGTGGGTAGGTCGTATGAGGAGCTGGTGTTTAGCGCAGCGAAGCGAAAGCACGCTGAACGCCGTAGGCTGACGTCGTGGGTTGCGTGCCAAACTTGACAGCGTTTTGGTTTCGTTGCGTGGGCGCTGCAGGTGATTTTTTATCGTCTCCGTGGTTCAATTTGAGCATTGCTGGGATCCAATGGTGTTCGGTTGCGTTATTTAAGCCAAAGCTCCATCCACACAGCGGTACGCCGCTGTGAAATGTGATTCCCACGGGTCTTTCGCGAATGAGACGGTGGGAATGTATGTCATCACACGAGCGGGCCCGCGTAATCCTCTCAAACTGGCGGCATTAGCGTGCGGATGGAGGCTTGTCCTGTGTAGGCAACTGGGACGAAAGCTCTGGGATGAAACCGCTGTTAAGTTTTGAATGTGTCCCTCCTCTCTGCCAAGAACCCGCACAACATCGATCGTCGCTGGCATCGATGTACATTCGTTTTCGATGTCTGTGGCCTGTGTTAGAATACACTGTTGGTCGAGTGACCGGTCTCCATCGGAGCCTGACGTTCGCCGTCACGAACGCACCAAACGTCAGTTGCGCCCCGGCCCACCGAAGCCGCTCATGTAGCCGCGCATCCGCTGACGCCAGCCGCGCTGGTGTCGCCGGCAGGTCGGGAAAGCTGCCGTCGGCGTCCGTCAGGTGGCAGCAGGTGAGCAAGCTGCAGCGGAAGGTGTCCACCTCGGATGAGGAGCCAGCGGTCGGCGAGAAGCTCTTCGCCGAGATCAAGGTTGGTGCTGCGGTGCGCCGTGCGGCGCCGCGATGTGCGTCGCGCGGAGTGCGCTGACCCGGCCCGCGGGTTATTCTCAGGACTTGCTGGCTCCGTATCGCGGCGCTGGCTTTCGTTGAAAGGACGGCTCGGCTTCATTCAGTGTCTGTTGCATGGAGCCCACAGACTCCTATGCCAGCGGTGTGGTGCCGTCCTCACTGCCCACCATGTCACTGTATCATGTTCATGCCTCATCGAAGAACGACGACATCACTTTGGTCCGCAGGCTTCGCCCCTGACGCTTAAAGATGCGCTCGGGGACAGTTCCCCCGTTCTTGATTCCAAACAGCTCTATTCGTTCTTAAAAGATATTGATTTTGAAATCATTTTCACACCGTAATAATTCAGTAAAAGCATCGTTATGGGCGCAAAATGACCGCTGCAGTCGACGCGCCCGAAAACACCAATGAACAACAAACAAAACAAGGCTTCATTCAGTATTTCTAGGGGCGTTTATGCGCACGGTGTCGTAGGACGGTGCCAGCCAGGAGTCCCACACCCGGCGCGTGCTGCACATCATTTCTGTGAATGGCCACATTATGTTGCACACGGACGTAATGTATACATGTTGTATGTCGTACACATACGCACACATACACATACGTGGTTGTGTGTGTGTGTGTGTGTGTGTGTGTGTGTGTGTGTGTGTGTGTGCGTGTGCGTGTGCGTGTGCGTGTGCGTGTGCGTGTGTGTGTGTGTGTGTGCGTAAGTGCGTAAGTGCGTGTATTGCAGACACACGCCAAGCACTTGACTGTCGTGCGCCTAAAGACGCGGCGTTTGCAGTGTGACGAACACCAGCAACCAACCAACATGAACGCATGGCATGAATGCACAGGCGCGGCGGAGAGAGGTGGCGCTTGGCGCGCGAGCTCGCGGCGCCTGCCGCGCGCTGATTGAGCTAACGGTGCGCGCGCCGCCGGCAGGACATCATCACCTACCACATGGTGTCTTCGGTGGGCACGTCGCGCGGTTTGTACCTGGGCTACCTGCAGTGTCAGACGTCGGTGGACCTGATCCGGGTCAGCGTGGCGCGCGACAAGCCCAACGTGCTGCCGCACGTGCGCGTGCGCGACAACGCGCACGTTAGCGGGTGAGTGCCGCCGCCGCCGCCGCCGCCCGGCAGGCCAGCGGCGGTCAGCATGAGCGGCGGCCGGTCGGGCGCACAGAAGCCGTATCGTGGCTGGCGCGGCCCCGGCAATGCCTGCAGGCGTGTCGCCTGAGCTTAGGGACTTAGATGGCAGCTGGCAACGATGCTATGTTGTGTGCGGTGTTCTCCGCCTATGTTCTGTGCTGGAGTACTGTGGGGTTTCTGGTGATACGTTTAGTTTGTGGTCACGTTTGCTGCATTGCTGGGTCCATGACGCGTTTGGTTTCGAATTTGTCGAGAAGTTGTCTGTCTTTGCCAGGGCTGGGATGTCAATTGTAGCGTGTTGGGTTGGGTCAGACGCATTGACAGGACATGGTGCGAGGAATTCTGCGTCCATATGAGACAAGTACCGTAATTATTCGTTATGGGGAGGTGTGGGCTGTGGGATTGTCCTTGGAAAGTGCGTGGAATGCTGATGTGCCAGCGCCGCGGAGGCGGACAGACCAGACCGAGAGTCTAACAAAGTCTCTAACGAAGACCTTGCGGCATTGTTACACTGCCGACCCGCTGCTGGTGTCCGGTGGGATTAGAGAACCCGATTCACTTGTCCTTCTTGTCTGTTTGTCTGTTGGTACTTACATTCGGTGCCACTGACCTGATTGACACTGATTCAGTGTCAGCCGTCTGTTGCGCTCAGTGAGGGACTGTGGGTGGTCCTGACCCCCCAACCCGTCCCCGTCTGTCACAGGGAGGAGTGGGCGTGGCTGCAGGAGTTCGGCACCCGCCGCGAGCTGACCGAGGAAGAGCAGGTGGACGGAGGTCAGGTGGTGACCCCGAGGTCACGGTTCCGGGCGCAGGTCGAAACAGCCGTGCGCCGCCTCCTCAAACTCATGGACGTGCCCGTGGAAGAGGCGGCCAATCACAGGTCAGACTCTGCGGGAAACCGCCGCTCATTGGTGAACGGGATAGTTAATCCACCGTTCATTTGTGAAAAAGATTGCGATTTCAGTACGACGCCACGAGAATATTGCAAGCATTATAGTAAAATGGAATTATACAACTATCATTCTTACGTCCCCGGCTGAACACAAGATGAATGTGCAAGGATATTGCGCTTTGCCTACCGCTAGCCTGTGGCATGTTGACGCAGTAAGCAAGCATGGGGTGGCATCTCTGCAGACGCGTGTCCAGCTGTGTGCTACGTGGCCGTGTGCTCTGTGGCCGTGTTCTCCGAGATTTGCAGCGTCTTCCAGGCTGACGCCGCGTGCGACGTGCCCCGCAGGCTGTACAACGTGGAGGTGCTGGAGCTGAACAGCACCACCAGCTTCCTGCTGTTGATCCCGGCGGCCGACCAGGTGTGCTCCATCCACCAGGCGGAGGAGCTCGCCGCGCCCAACGACTGCCTCCGGCTGCCCGTGCAGGTGAGGCAGCCCCTGTTATGGGCAGCTAGTACACCGCCAGCGGGGCCTTGTCGGGTTATGAACAGCTGGTGGTCGTGCAGTTAAAGGCTGCATGCTGGTCGCAATGTGTATGCTGTCCTATGTTGCAATGCAGAGGTGCTGCACTGCCGCGAGTGAAAGTACCGGTGCAATTTGCTACGTCGACTTAAGACTAAGTGCTTCTAACTAAGTTGAGACTAAGTTGAGACGAAGTACGTTATATCGTGATAAACGTGATGAATCATTCGTGCGTTATCGGAGTGGTGTTCGTTTTTTGCTCACACTGCGTACGGTGTGCGGACAGATTTTCGAGATGGTGCATATGATGACGTACCAGCGGTCGTTCGTCAGTCGCTACAGCCGGATCAGTTCGATCCTCGAGACGGACACAATCATGGCGCAGCACGCGCACCGGGAGGTGAGCAGCGACGGTCATCACCTCACCCATGTCAGTGCTGATCAGAAGAGGTGCAGGCAGATCGTTACTTTTTGGCGGTTATGTGCGACCGAGCTGCCAGGACTAACACTCCTCCCCCGCCTGATGTTTTGTTTGGGTTACTTAAGGACGCCTCGCTGCTCAGTCAATCTGGTTTCTGCGTCAAATAATAGCTTGGTAGACTCAGCCGCCATGCATATAGTAAGCACTATTAGCCGCACATAACCCTGTCGTCTGGCGCAGCCCGCTCGGGCAGTCGGTGACTGAGGGAGCCGACCACGCCGTCGGTGGTGTGGGCTCCGCCGACGCCACTAGTCGTCCATAACCTCAGCCGGAGTTTCAGTCATGGGTCTGACGTTGTGGCATGCCCATGGGCGGTCAGTGCGAGGGCGTGGGGTCTTCAGGCGAGTTTTCGCTCGTATGTGGAGGGAGACTGGATTTGGGAGCGGTTTTTACCACACAACACCGTGGGGAGAGTGCGAAGCTGTGTGCTATTGGTGGGAATGATCGAAGACCGGGTTTCCCCAAATAAAGTACCCATTTCCCTTTCATGGGTGGAATGAGTCTGTAAACCATCTTTATCGTCTGGCATGTTAGTATGCGCTAAAGTTTTGGTCAGATGGCTGTCCGGCTATTGTTAGCTGATATGAAGGTCATTCCCGGTTAGCTCCGTTGGAGAGCACTGGGCCCAAAATCAGAAGGCACTTGGTACAATCTCAGCAATTTGCAGAGCATAACGTCGGTTGTGACGCGTGCCTGGCTGAAATCTAGAAATCTAAACATTGTCATTAAACCTAAATATCACCAGGTCCTTTTTAGGACCCGATAAGGCCTGACGACGGTCCAATAGTTGAACGGCCGTAACATTGTGTATATACTAACGCGCCAGCTTAGGACGATGGTCTGACCAGCAATTTCATCCCTGATATTAATCAGTCGTCACAATTCTTCCGTAATAGGGCCTGCTGCTGTTGGTGTTTTTTTATAGGCATGTAGACATATAGACGTCAGGCCAACAAAGGACCACGAGGGCCCATCGAGGTTGGCCTACCTCAGGTTCCGCGCCCATCCTTAACACTAATCTTCCCACCTGACCCGCCTGCATTTAGCCATAAATGAGGGCCTTAGACCGGTAGAACTTGTTTAAACTATTTTTTGCTGCTAGGGAAGCAGTTCCTTCAACTTCGTTCGGCAGTCCGTTCCAGTGATTCGCTTCACTGACTAAATGGCATCTGCCCCTTTATAGTTCTGCTCCTACCTGTTGCTTATTGAAACCGGTTTCCCTCAAGGATAGGCCTAATTTCTAGCGCTCCTTGTAGATCTACCCTGTCTATCTCTCTCATAATCGTGAATATCTTTATCAGTTCCTCATCTCTACGATATTTCAGTGAATACAAATCCAAGGCCCTGAGCCTGTCCTTATATTATAAGTTGCCAAACCCATTCATCATCCTAGTCGCTTTTTGTTGTACTTTCTTCTGCCTATCTGTGTCTTTGTACGTATGGGGACCAAGCTTGTGCGCAATACTCTGGGTATGGTCTGACATAAGCTAAAAGCAACTTTTTTAACAGCATTCCCACTCATGTAATCGACATTCCTGTTAATAAGTCCCAGCATCCAAAGTGTCTTGCTCCTCGCAGCCCAACTTGCTTTTCAGCCTTTAAATCCCGAAAAATTATAACCCTCAAGTTCTCTACTTCCTCGATCTGGACCAACTCTTGGTCTCCCATGTTATAGCCCAGTTTTTATTCATTTTTATCCAACTGCCAGAATTACCCACATGCACCACCTCACACTTATCCTATTCAAATGTCATCTGCCACAGAGAAGCCCATTTCACTAGTTTCTCTAAGTCAAGTTTCGCGTGGTCTGAATTTTATACACCCCCATCAAATTATCTATCTATGGAGGCAATATATATTTTATTAAGGACTCCAAGCCAGGCTCGCCAAAGCCGAGACTCGTCCATAGCCATCAAGCTCATGGTAATTTTGCAGAGATGAAAGTGCAGAGAACTCCGCTAAGGATGTCACTGGTTGAGCGATCTTTATGTGTTGGTACGATGAGGGACAGTTACGGAACGCTTTTTGGTCGTGTCAAGGGGCGAAGCAGTGGGACAAAACGAACAGGTATCGCACTGCAGACATAGCTGATCAAAGATGAACAGCTCCGCGGATAGATCCGTCACCCCAAACGGATCCTCGAACCTCGTGACTCGGAACTACAGCCAGCCGACGGCCGGCCCAGCTGTCCACCCCATCAGCCGCCTACAGTCCTGCACCCCACCGTTATGTACGCTGGCGCCCAGGGACCTCAGTAGCCGCCCATGACCACCGGCTGTGCGTCTGTGTCCGCAGGCGTTCAGCGACTCCGAGATCAGCGAGGCGCGCGGCCGGCTGGCGCAGCTGCAGACGTTCCAGACGGAGCTGGAGGCTGTGTGGCGCACGTCGCGTTGGCTGACCGACGCCATCGCGTGGGCGCGAGATAAGTCTCAGGTACGGCCGAGCCGGGTCGCCGGCCCTGCGGCGTCCCCCGTGGCCACCGGCCCCAACAGGGCGCGGCCGAGGCAGGGTGGAGTGTGGGTTCAGTGTTGTCCTAGCGTCCAATGCCTCGACGTGGTTCAATGCAGTCCTGGTTTTCTGATGACAAGCAAGGCGTCTGCGAGTCTTGGAGAAGAATGAAGCGGATGCTGTTTTTGTTGGTCAGAAAGTGGCGGTCGGCTGCGGTTCAATCGCTGTGACTGTATATCGAACGGGGTTGGCAGACAGCTTTCGTGCTCGGACAGTTGAGCCGCGTCAGTGGTACGACGCTGCTGCGACACTGGTACGACACTGGGTGAGATGCCGGTCTCACCGCGTGCGGTTGCGCCTGCAGGACGGCTGTCCCCTGTCGTTGGCGGCCCTCCGCTCCTGGGACGGTCGTGACGTCAGCGTGTCTCCGGTCCGAGACGCCAAGCGGCTGCGCAAGGACAACGCGCTGCCGCCGCCCAGCCCCGCCGAGTTCCGCAGGTCGGTTACAGGTGGCGCCGGCGGCGAGGGTCGTTTGATTCTGGGGTGCTCGTGGTGAACTGGTGCGTGAGGACGGCTGCCTGATCCCGGCCGCTGCCCCGGGCGTTTCTAGCCAAATGCAGATTCAAAGGGGTAAATGTACCGCACATGCTATAAAGTATGTGTGACAGACTCTTCTCTGTGCCATGAATACAGTGTTGTGTTTTGTTTGGTTTGGATTTTTATGGCATGGAAGCGTAGTGTGTAGCTTAATTGGTCGCGCATTTGTGGGAACATTTGCTTGTGAGTCGGCGATGTCTTTCATAATGATAAGAGTCAGCGAACATATGGGCCGGTTCACTCGTCAGTGGCGTCGCCGCCGTCACCACTGACCGCCGCGCCGCCCGACAGGTCCAGCTCGCAGCGGCTGCTGAAGCCGCGGCCCGAGTTCCAGAAGTCGCGAACCTCCGAGTGTCTGCTGAAGCCACGTGGCGCCGGCGACGAGGCGCGCGCGCTGCTCGGCTGCGAGGACTCGAGCAGCGAGGACTCGCTGTCGCGACCGCCGGCGGCGGCCGGTGCGCGCGGCGGCGTCGGCGCGCATCTGCTGACCGTGTCGGCCGACCTGCGCAAAAGCTCGGCGCCGGACGTGTACGTGCACGCGGACGTGGAGCGGCAGTGGGGCACGGCGCTCAGCCGCTCCACGCCCAGCTTCGGCGGCGTCGAGCGGCTGGCGCCGCCGAGCCGGCCGTGCGCCCGCGGCGAACCGCTCGCCGAGCGACGCCGGCAGCCTGGCGTCGTCGGCGCGCAGTCTGTCCTCCAACGACACGGAGACGGACACGGTAAGCGCGGACGAGGCGGACGAGTCGGCAGCGGCGGCGGCGCCGGGCGAGCTGCAGGTGTTTGCCGCCTACGAGACGGGCCTGGCGGCCGGCACCTCTGTGCGGCTGCACGTGACGCCGCGCACTAGCGCGCGCGAGGTGGTGGACCTAGTGGTAAAGCAGCTCAACATGGCCGTCGTGCTGAAGGGCCGCCAGGGCCCCGTGTACGCGGCCGACCAGCTGCGCGCCTTCTGTCTGGTGGCTGTGATCGGCGCCCGAGAGCGCTGCCTGCGAGACGACTTCCGGCCGCTCCAGCTGCAGAACCCATGGCGGCGCGGCAAGCTGTTTGTGCGCCGGCGCGCCGACGTGCTCGCCGCCATCCAGCAGAACGCTACACGCGGCGCGCCGCTCGTCTGAACAGTGACGTCATGCCGCGACGACCCGTGACGTCATACTCAACCTGCTGTGATCGGCGATCGGAGGATTCTGCGGGGGGCGCCGCCGCCGTCTTGCGGATTGCCGGCTGGAGGATTTGCGATTGTGTCAACATCCCGGGTGTATTTGTCGCTGCGGTGCACTTGTGCTGCCATCTGTGGGGCGCGCAATGATACTGCGCTTACCAATCGAGATTAGCGATGTCGTGTTGTGTGCGCATCCACGACATAAGCGCTTTATTGCGTATATTTATCTGTGTGTCGACGCTGCAGCCCATAAGTTATGTGCGGCGTTGGAGGCGTAGGAAAATAAACCGGGACAGGCAGAGAAATGTTTGTCTCCTCGCCAACAAAGATTTTATTCTGGTTGTGCTAGCTGGGGCGGCGACATGTTTGACGATTAAAAGGGTCGCTAATGCATTATAGCCCTCACATCCGCCCTGCTATCCTCTCCATCGCCTTGCCCTCCGTCCTCGCGACGTCCCGTTTGTCCTATACAGGCTGCATGGGCCAGCCACGAGCGGCCCGAAGTGTCCCCTGGTGGTGGTCGCCGTCCGGATGCCGAGCACGCATGCCGCGTACAGTCCAAAATATCTCTCTTGTGAACAATGGGGGGTATTGGGGTTAGTTCGCTTCTTATGTTCAAAGCGGGTTCAGTGGTGCCATTTTTATTGGAATTCATGCATGTTTAGCGGTACGCGGAGCTAAAAATCGGTAGTGTGGAGCTATTTTGGCTCAAGCCCTTAGCGCTCGCTTACGATGCTAGCATTAAATGTTAGACCATAACACCTAGCTGGTCGGTCACTTGGAGTGCGAATAAGAGAGGGAGGGGACAGCGATGCCTAGCAATGAAGAGGTGACTGGCAACAAAAGAAGAAAACAGCGGTGAAATGGATGCAAAGCAAACCTTTGCGGCGAAATTGGCTCGATCGTGTTTGTATGCCAATAAGATGTGAGCTTACGTGATGACCCTTGGGCCCCATCTGACTTCAATTTGACCTCTCTGTCCTCTGTTCTACCTCAACCAAGAAACTAGAAAATGTCAAACCATGTGAAAGAAGTTCACGTGTACCGAGCAGACCTTCGTGCTACATCGTTGCTCCCCCAAATAATTGTTATGGACACGCATTATACACCGTTGCATTCCGAAGCGTGTTCGACGCACGGTTCTGAAAAGTATTGATCTTCTGCAGTGGCGCTCGTTACCCCTGCAGACAGGCTTGCGTTTTGACTCAACTTTTTTAGTCGGCTCGGAACTGGCTCAGAGGTTTTGGAATCCGATTCAGCTCATGACTCAAAGCCGTTCCAAATGGATTGATTCGGTTTAGTTCAGACTCATTGTTTCCATTGAACCATTTGACTCCTGACTCACGCAGCTTGCGAAACCAAATATCCGATGTTTCTCTGGCTCGTGTTTATATAATATATAAATATTACACGCGGTGCGTGTCACACAACAACAGCTGCATCATCAGGCAAAACATAATATATGAGACAAAGAACTCACTCGTTCAGTGTAAACCGTTATGGTTTAACATGTTGTTTCTATAGCCTTGGTTTTAAACAAACACGAAGAACTTGAAAATGCCACACGTGGACATACAATGACATACGACCAATTCCACAGGCATGTATCCGTTTATCACAATTTCTAACCGATATGATGAACAAGGGTGGAACGTTTCATGCTTTTGGGGGCTATGCCCCCCTCCCCGCGATAGTGAGCCCAGCCCCCAAAGTTTGGCTGCCCCCCCCCCCCTCCCAATATCGGGCTGGGGCCTCCAATATTGGACAGAGCTTCCACCATGTGGAACCTGGCGCCTAATACTCATCAGTTCTTTGAAATAAATATAAATTAGTGTTAGGCATACTGGAAATACATTGCATCTTAAAGTTTGTATTTCTATGTGTTCCTAAGACAGGACGAAATTGAATTACTGATCTATTGATTCAAAAGGTTCTTGTACGATGCTGATCTTGTACGAATCATATCAGTGTTCATCAGTCAGTGACCCTGAGCGTCGGCACCGGCAGCTTCGGCTCGCCGTCACCCGCGCTGCCTGTGTCCGGACAGCGCTTGTGATGTTGGCGCAGCCTGGCCGTCAGCGCGTCCTGGCCATTCGGTAGACGGTTGGCTCAAGATGGAACGGGGCGACGCGCGTTAACTGGGGCGAATCTCTGCCGCCGCCTGCCCTAGGTACTGTGTGCGAGTACGACGCGGGCGCCGCCCGCCCTAGGTACTGTGTGCGAGTGTGACGCGGGCGCCGCCTGCCCTAGGTACTGTGTGCGAGTGTGACGCGGGCGCCCCCCGCCCTAGGTACTGTGTGCGAGTGTGACGCGGGCGCCGCCTGCCCTAGGTACTGTGTGCGAGTGTGACGCGGGCGCCGCCTGTTCTAGGTAATGTGTGCGAGTGTGACGCGGGCGCCGCCTGCCCTAGGTACTGTGTGCGAGCGTGACGCGGGCGCCGCCTGCCCTAGGTACTGTGTGCGAGTGTGACGCGGGCGCCGCCTGTTCTAGGTAATGTGTGCGAGTGTGACGCGGGCGCCGCCTGCCCTAGGTAATGTGTGCGAGTGTGACGCGGGCGCCGCCTGCCCTAGGTACTGTGTGCGAGTGTGACGCGGGCGCCGCCTGCCCTAGGTACTGTGTGCGAGTGTGACGCGGGCGCCGCCTGCCCTAGGTACTGTGTGCGAGTGTGACGCGGGCGCCGCCTGCCCTAGGGGCTGTGCGCGGGTGTGACGCGGGTGCCACCTGCCCTAGGCACTATGCGCGGGTGTGGCGCTGGCGCCGCCTGTTCAAGGTACTGTGCGCAAGTGTGACGCGGACACCACCTGCCCTAGGTACTGTGCGCAAAAGTGACGCGGACACCACCTGCAAAATATAAAGGACACCGGCTGACCGGCATTAACAACTAGAGATTGTTGGCCATGGTGCGTTAATAAGGTAAGATGATACAGAACCGCAGGGTTTTCATAGCCTGTCCAGTAGGTAAACTGGCGAAATGTTCGACATGTAAGCCATTACCGCTACCATCAGACAGGATATTGTGTTTCGCGAGCGACAGTGCTACAGGCAGTTTTTGCTGGCGAACGCCAGCCCCGTAAACCGATGCTTCTCTTCCACCCCCGACCCCCTTCAAGCGCCCTGCTTGCTTCTGTAACACTAAGTGTTTGTCTACTTCAGCCAGCTGGCGGTATTCCAGGCTGGGGTTCCGAGGCAGGAGCTACAGAACTCAGCAGGCTGAGTTCTGTAGGCCGAGGCCGAGCTGCGCCAAAAAGGCCCATCAGCTGTGGCCAGACCGAACTCATCACAGCTCGCCAGATCGTTCCGATTCCATTGAGAAACTTCCAGATATGGGTTCGACCGTGCGTATCCGCAGAGGTGCATACACATGGGGACGTCCAGGGCCACACGCCTCCCGTTTAATCTTTGTTATTTGGTTACCAAAGTACTAAATTTGTGTGCGGTTTAATGGCATGCACATGACGAAATATTGACAGTTGAATACTTTACTTGGACACGTCAAAATAAAAAGATCGAGAGCACGTGATGTGATTTGATGGCACAGAGAAGCGCACGCGCGCCGGCTGAACGCTATGCTCGGTTCTCGGGCAAATTTCTTTAGGTTGTGTCCACCACACCGATCGTGAAAGCCTTCGTATACCCCCGCATGTGCTCATCGTTCGTTGCTCACGTTGGTCGCTTATCGGTACGCTTCTGGTGATAGCCATGCCGTGCTTAGTAAGCACAGCGCCCGGCAGTGGGTCTTGGTTGGTAAGATCTCACAGTGAAATTAATTGAATTGGTAAGATAACACATTAAATTGGGTGTTCTGTGTTCATCAATGAGAGTTTCGAAACAAACAGAATACGTTCGAAGATCTCCAAAGTTGGTCATGGATGTGACGTTAGTTGTGGTTTATGTCGTGTTCAAAGGTAAGAATTCAGCCCGATATTGTGAGTTCTAGAACATATAATGTGACTGTATGTTTGATAATGGTCGATGTTGATATGAAGAAAATGGTTTAAGGGGTGCCTGGCCATTCTATTCTATATAGACCATTCTATTCTATCTGTCTATATAGACGTCATAGAACATACAAATATATCGGACCACTATCACGCCTTCAGGTTGACCGAGCGTTGCGGAAACTACTGGAAAAACCCAGGTTCTCTCGCATGCTCAAAAACAAAAGCACACAAACCTATCGAGAGTTTCCAAGGAATACGAAGGCGTTGATCTTCTCTCTGCAGAGAGCCACACTTTACAACAACTTCAGATGGGATGTTTTTGTCTCAGGCCATTCTTTTGCGGGTTTTTTTTAGAGTCGACGCAAATTGTCTCTCGCGAGAACGCTTGATTATCTCCATGATCAACTAATTGGAACATGGAGGCAATCGAGCATTCTCGAGCGAGGTAATTTTCAGTAACGCCGGTTAATAAGAACGTCCCACGACACCACCTCAGGTCCTTGTGAAATATGACTCTCCGCGGAGACCAAACCAATACCTGTGTGTTCTTCCAGGACTATCGAGGGTCTCCCCCATTTTTAAGCCATCATGCTTATAAACTTGCAATAAACGACCATGGAATATACCTCTGATTGTGCTATATGGACGCACCGCCATCGGCACCCGCCAAAGACAAAGCACACACACACGCACACGCACACACACGCACGGTGTGATGTGGGTGTGGGTGTGTGTGTGTGTGTGGGTGTGGGTGTGTGTGTGTGTGTGTGTGTGTGGGTGTGGGTGTGTGTGTATGTGTGTGTGTGTGTGTGTGTGCGTGTGACTCCCTTGACCCTGACTGACTCACGGTGACCTCTGCCGCCCCCGACTGCTTGTCATGTCTTGTGACGTTTGTTCTATCCGAAAGCTGCCCGTCCAAACACGCCGGGTTGTCTACATGACTCACATCAGGGCATGGAGTACACGAAAACATGAGCACGTCAAACCGTCTGGTGACCAGAGACCACCAGCGATACCCCTAGCAACAGCCGCGGCAAGATCCAGCAGAGACGCCCAAGCCTCCAGCGTGAGTCAATGAAGATGAGTCCGCCGTCCGCATGCGGTTCGAGAACATGTCAGCTGACATGTTCGCATAGCGGGTCCAGCACACACAATACCAATTGCATTTCGATTTTGAGCCTTACCAGGCGTGAACTGCGGTGCACGTCTAGCGAAACGTGACACTCACCATTTGGCCTGGGGTATCGATGGATATCCAAGGGCAGATGCCAGCATGTATTTCCAACGAAGCAGATCGTACAGAGCACAGAGTGTACAGTGCTGGATCACAACACAGTGCTTGCGCATTACGA